GGGATACAGTACACTTACCAGGTGAACAAAAGGAACAAAGTAACCAAACAGAGATAATCCTAGGGATACTTACCAGGTGAACAAAGGAACAAAGTAACCAAACAGAGATAATCTTAGGGGTACTTACCAGGTGAACAAAAGGAACAAAGTAACCAAACAGAGATAATCCTAGGGAAACAATATACTTACCAGGTGAACAAAAGGAACAAAGTAACCAAACAAAGATAATCCTAGGGATACTTACCAGGTGAAAGAAAGGAACAAAGTAACCAAACAGAGATAATCCTAGTGATACTTACCAGGTGAACAAAAGGAACAAAGTAACCAAACAGAGATAGTCCTAGGGATACAGTACACTTACCAGGTGAACAAAAGGAACAAAGTAACCAAACAGAGATAATCCTAGGGATACTTACCAGGTGAACAAAAGGGACAAAGTAACCAAACAGAGATAATCTTAGGGATACTTACCAGATGAACAAAAGGAACAAAGTAACCAAACAGAGATAATCCTAGTAATACTTACCAGGTGAACAAAAGGAACAAAGTAACCAAACAGAGATAATCCTAGGGATACAGTATACTTACCAGGTGAACAAAAGGAACAAAGTAACCAAACAGAGATAATCCCAGGGATACTTACCAGGTAAACAAAAAAGAACAAAGTAATCAAACAGAGATAATCATAGGTATACTTACCAGGTGAACAAAAGGAACAAAGTAACCAAACAGAGATAATCCTAGGGATACTTACCAGGTGAACAAAAGGAACAAAGTAACTAAACAGAGATAATCCTTGTGATACTTACCAGGTGAACAAAAGGAACAAAGTAACCAAGCAGAGATAATCCTAGTAATACTTACCAGGTGAACAAAAGTAACAAAGTAACCAAACAGAGATAATCCTAGGGATACAGTATACTTACCAGGTGAACAAAAGGAACAAGGTAACCAAACAGAGATAATCCTAGGGATACTTACCAGGTGAACAAAAGGGACAAAGTTACCAAACAGAGATAATCCTAGTAATACTTACCAGGTGAAGAATAGGAACAAAGTAACCAAACAGAGATAATCCTAGTGATACTTACCAGGTGAACAAAAGGAACAAAGTAACCAAACAAGAGATAATCCTTGGGATACAGTACACTTACCAGGTGAACAAAAGGAACAAAGTAACCAAACAGAGATAATCCTAGGGATACTTACCAGGTGAAAGAAAGGAACAAAGTAACCAAACAGAGATAATCCTAGGGATACAGTACACTTACCAGGTGAACAAAAGGAACAAAGTAACCAAACAGAGATAATCCTAGGGATACTTACCAGGTGAACAAAGGAACAAAGTAACCAAACAGAGATAATCCTAGGGATACAGTATACTTCCCGGGTAAACAAAAGGAACAAAGTAACCAAACAGAGATAATCCTAGGGATACTTACCAGGTGAACAAAAGGAACAAAGTAACCAAACAGAGATAATCCTAGGGATACTTACCAGGTGAACAAAATGAACAAAGTAACCAAACAGAGATAATCCTAGTGACACTTACCAGGTGAACAAAAGGAACAAAGTAACCAAACATAGATAATCCTAGGGATACTTACCAGGTGAAAGAAAAGAACAAAGTAACCAAACGGAGATAATCCTAGGGATACTTACCAGGTGAACAAAAGGAACAAAGTAACCAAACAGAGATAATCCTAGGGATACTTACCAGGTGAAAGATAGGAACAAAGTAACCAAACAGAGATAATCCTAGTGATACTTACCAGGTGAACAAAAGGAACAAAGTAACCAAACAGAGATAATCCTAGTGATACTTACCAGGTGAACAAAAGGAACAAAGTAACCAAACAGAGATAATCCTAAAGACACTTACCAGGTGAACAAAAGGAACAAAGTAACCAAACAGGGATAATCCTAGTGATACTTACCAGGTGAACAAAAGGAACAAAGTAACCAAACAAGAGATAATCCTTGGGATACAGTACACTTACCAGGTGAACAAAAGGAACAAAGTAACCAAACAGAGATAATCCTAGGGATACTTACCAGGTGAAAGAAAGGAACAAAGTAACCAAACAGAGATAATCCTAGGGATACAGTACACTTACCAGGCGAACAAAAGGAACAAAGTAACCAAACAGAGATAATCCTAGGGATACTTACCAGGTGAACAAAGGAACAAGGTAACCAAACAGAGATTATCCTAGTGATACTTACCAGGTGAACAAAAGGAACAAAGTAACCAAACAGAGATAATCCTAAAGACACTTACCAGGTGAACAAAAGGAACAAAGTAACCAAACAGAGATAATCCTAGTGATACTTACCAGGTGAACAAAAGCAACAAAGTAACCAAACAAAGATAATCCTAGGGATACTTACCAGGTGAAAGAAAGGAACAAAGTAACCAAACAGAGATAATCCTAGTGATACTTACCAGGTGAACAAAAGGAACAAAGTAGCCAAACAGAGATAGTCCTAGGGATACAGTACACTTACCAGGTGAACAAAAGGAACAAAGTAACCAAACAGAGATAATCCCAGGGATACTTACCAGGTAAACAAAAAAGAACAAAGTAATCAAACAGAGATAATCATAGGTATACTTACCAGGTGAACAAAAGGAACAAAGTAACCAAACAGAGATAATCCTAGGGATACTTACCAGGTGAACAAAAGGAACAAAGTAACTAAACAGAGATAATCCTTGTGATACTTACCAGGTGAACAAAAGGAACAAAGTAACCAAGCAGAGATAATCCTAGTAATACTTACCAGGTGAACAAAAGTAACAAAGTAACCAAACAGAGATAATCCTAGGGATACAGTATACTTACCAGGTGAACAAAAGGAACAAGGTAACCAAACAGAGATAATCCTAGTGATACTTACCAGGTGAACAAAAGGAACAAAGTAACCAAACAGAGATAATCCTAAAGACACTTACCAGGTGAACAAAAGGAACAAAGTAACCAAACAGGGATAATCCTAGTGATACTTACCAGGTGAACAAAAGGAACAAAGTAACCAAACAAGAGATAATCCTTGGGATACAGTACACTTACCAGGTGAACAAAAGGAACAAAGTAACCAAACAGAGATAATCCTAGGGATACTTACCAGGTGAAAGAAAGGAACAAAGTAACCAAACAGAGATAATCCTAGGGATACAGTACACTTACCAGGCGAACAAAAGGAACAAAGTAACCAAACAGAGATAATCCTAGGGATACTTACCAGGTGAACAAAGGAACAAGGTAACCAAACAGAGATTATCCTAGTGATACTTACCAGGTGAACAAAAGGAACAAAGTAACCAAACAGAGATAATCCTAAAGACACTTACCAGGTGAACAAAAGGAACAAAGTAACCAAACAGAGATAATCCTAGTGATACTTACCAGGTGAACAAAAGCAACAAAGTAACCAAACAAAGATAATCCTAGGGATACTTACCAGGTGAAAGAAAGGAACAAAGTAACCAAACAGAGATAATCCTAGTGATACTTACCAGGTGAACAAAAGGAACAAAGTAGCCAAACAGAGATAGTCCTAGGGATACAGTACACTTACCAGGTGAACAAAAGGAACAAAGTAACCAAACAGAGATAATCCCAGGGATACTTACCAGGTAAACAAAAAAGAACAAAGTAATCAAACAGAGATAATCATAGGTATACTTACCAGGTGAACAAAAGGAACAAAGTAACCAAACAGAGATAATCCTAGGGATACTTACCAGGTGAACAAAAGGAACAAAGTAACTAAACAGAGATAATCCTTGTGATACTTACCAGGTGAACAAAAGGAACAAAGTAACCAAGCAGAGATAATCCTAGTAATACTTACCAGGTGAACAAAAGTAACAAAGTAACCAAACAGAGATAATCCTAGGGATACAGTATACTTACCAGGTGAACAAAAGGAACAAGGTAACCAAACAGAGATAATCCTAGGGATACTTACCAGGTGAACAAAAGGGACAAAGTTACCAAACAGAGATAATCCTAGTAATACTTACCAGGTGAAGAATAGGAACAAAGTAACCAAACAGAGATAATCCTAGTGATACTTACCAGGTGAACAAAAGGAACAAAGTAACCAAACAAGAGATAATCCTTGGGATACAGTACACTTACCAGGTGAACAAAAGGAACAAAGTAACCAAACAGAGATAATCCTAGGGATACTTACCAGGTGAAAGAAAGGAACAAAGTAACCAAACAGAGATAATCCTAGGGATACAGTACACTTACCAGGTGAACAAAAGGAACAAAGTAACCAAACAGAGATAATCCTAGGGATACTTACCAGGTGAACAAAGGAACAAAATAACCAAACAGAGATAATCTTAGGGGTACTTACCAGGTGAACAAAAGGAACAAAGTAACCAAACAGAGATAATCCTAGGGAAACAATATACTTACCAGGTGAACAAAAGGAACAAAGTAACCAAACAAAGATAATCCTAGGGATACTTACCAGGTGAAAGAAAGGAACAAAGTAACCAAACAGAGATAATCCTAGTGATACTTACCAGGTGAACAAAAGGAACAAAGTAACCAAACAGAGATAGTCCTAGGGATACAGTACACTTACCAGGTGAACAAAAGGAACAAAGTAACCAAACAGAGATAATCCTAGGGATACTTACCAGGTGAACAAAAGGGACAAAGTAACCAAACAGAGATAATCTTAGGGATACTTACCAGATGAACAAAAGGAACAAAGTAACCAAACAGAGATAATCCTAGTAATACTTACCAGGTGAACAAAAGGAACAAAGTAACCAAACAGAGATAATCCTAGGGATACAGTATACTTACCAGGTGAACAAAAGGAACAAAGTAACCAAACAGAGATAATCCTAGTGATACTTACCAGGTGAACAAAATGAACAAAGTAACCAAACAAAGATAATCCTAGGGATACTTACCAGGTGAACAAAAGGAACAAAGTAACCAAACAGAGATAATCCTAAGGATACTTACCAGGTGAACAAAAGGAACAAAGTAACCAAACAGAGATAATCCTAGGGATACTGCCCAAATCACATAAGCCTTGTTCTTAAATATCTTCGTGTTCAGAAACGTTTTGGCAAAGGCACAACAATCGTTCACATGTTCAACTACACTCTCTTTGGAAAGTGTCAAAGCGGCCAGATTAGATTGTTTCGGTATCAATGGCTTCCACGTCAATGTACAGAATACCAGAATCAAGTACATAGCAGCTAACACAACGAATGTATATTTGACTTGTATGCCTTTCAGTAAATATGGTAGTGCTATCGATAAAATAATGGAAAACAATGAGCTTCCAAACGCTACAATGCCATTAACTAGTCCCATATGCTTGTCAAAATAATGACCAAGGATTGTAAGTGATGGTGAATAAATTAGTCCTGCTCCTATTCCTAGGAATACACCAAATGTTAAATAAAGTAATTCTAATTCTGTAACAAACGCACTTGACACCAATCCGACGAGGCCAAATAATGTTCCAACAAATGCAGTTGGTCTGATTCCAACTCGGTCACTGAGAATACTGGATACAATACTCATTAGAAAGGTTAGACCAGTCGATACTGAACCAACAAATGCTGCAATACAAAAGGAAATGAAATTATGAAATTACTTAAAAATCTCATTCTTTTGGATTTATATACATTGTCATGACTGCACATTAATTATATATTCAAAATGGTCTCATGCAAATAATACTGGTACTGGTTAGATTAATTATTGCAGCATTCAAATTTTGCTGTGTAAAGAGTCACAGCATGTTCACATCATGTATTGTACAGTTTTTTGTACTATAAATGCAGTTTTTTATGGTTCTATTTTATTTTGTTTTTCTTGATCAAATTTTATGAATATCGTAATTGGTGTTCTCTTCAACTTACAGGTTTTGAGATTTGCATGAAGAGGGCTAAGAATATGCTATAACACTGTAATTCTCACTCTGGTTGTATCAGAAATGTTTTTTTTATTTTAACGATACTGTCAATTTCAGTAACACAATATGCTAATAATTATCCAAAAATATCTGTAAGCCAGTGTTATTTGAAATATCTGGTGAGAACACTGTCATGAGTAAACTACTTTTTAATCAGTTAATTGTTTGTTTTTTGTTTTAAATATTTTTTTCATTCATTCGTCTTTCTTTCCTTTTTTTCATATAGGAAAACAATATTGTTTACCATATAAACAATGTATATAAATATATCCGTAGAAATGCCATTAAACATCATAAATAATTATAAAGCAGGTGCAAATCTAGGATTCTGAAAAAGGGAGGCCCTGGCAATCCAATGTTTGGAGTGATACTTGTAAAAAGTCCATGCATTTATCATATATGAAGCTACATAAGGGGGCCCGGCCACATGGCCCCCTCCCTAAATCCACCTATGTAAAGTCTTATTCACATCTATGTTCCACCTTAATAATACATGGTTAAATGATAATGATTCATTCATATTGAATTAATGCTGCATCAGCACACATGGCCAATGTCCATGCAAGAGAATAATTATATCCAAAAAGTATATTATTCAATTGGGCAAATTGACCAATCACACTTGTTGGATATTATACCCACCTACAAATCCAAATACATGTATTTATTCCAAATGACCAAATTTCTGATCAATTTAAGTAAACATATGATTGTTAATACCAGTATTTATTTCAAATGACCACATTTCTAATCAATTTAAGTAAACATATGATTGTAAAATATGTTTACTATCAAAATTGAATACTGCTTTTGACACTATGTATATAGATAATATGGCTTCTTCAGATCTATTTATATATGTAGATATATATGACATAAGATGACTTAACAGATGGACAAATGATTGAACACTGTCAACTAAGATAATACTGGTTTGTAAAATTTAACCTTATTGTCATATCTTTATGGATACATATATGGTGGAAAAGTTTTGGTGACCTTACTCCACTTTACATATAATTTATACTTTTAAATGCCTTTATCCCTGTAAATGGGAACTGGTAACAACTATTAGTCTCCATACAGAACTTTACACATTGAATCCTTAGTGATGAACTATAACTAGAATGCTCATTCTTTAATTAACTATCATGACAGACAAAACGTAAAACCACTGCATAAATGGACAATTATTGTAAGTCACCACAATCCGCTTATTGCATTTGCCAGTTCATTAAATTTTGTGGTAAATTTATCGTGTTCATGTTGCTCTATCTTCAGTTTATTGTGTAGTGTTTTGTAAACTATTGTTAAGACCTTCCTTGGCATTTAGACTTTTTTGTTTGGCCATGATTTGTCTTTCCTTCGTCAACATAAAAGAATTTTAAATTCATCCTTAGTCCATTTTTTCTGAAAAAAATGAACATTTCAAAACAACAACTTACATACTTTATTTCTGATTGGCTAATTTGACCAAGAAGTTTCAAGATAATGGTAGAAAATATGAGTTATTCTTCAACATCAGACCACAAGATACATTTGACATAAATTGGTAACAATAATTGAAACAAACTGACAGGGTTAAAAAGTTGTCCTATTCCTCCTTTTGAATTTTTTTCATACTTACAAGTTTTTAAGGATATCTCTGGATCTCCAGCAGCATACTCATCCAGGAGGAAAGTATACAATATACCAAATGTATTCATAATACTAAACACTGTCCCGTTACACAACATTGATGTAAAACAAACAACCCATCCCCATCCGCCATCAGGGGGAGTGAACTCTCTACTAACTGTCCTTGTCAAACCATTCTCTACATCACTTTTAAGAGCCTGCTTCTGTTCCACATCAGAGCTAAAAGAAAGTTTACTCCTCCTTTCCATGGCAATTTGTGTCTACAAAATAGAAATTATATGACTAAATCTGCAAGTACTCAGACATTCTTTATATGTACATTAAACATTGATTATAAGTGTAAAAATCTGCATATACTCAGACAGACATTCTATTTATGTACATCAAACAAACTTCATTACAGTGTTATCTTTTAGTTGATAAACTATTATGAATAAATATATAAATGATCGTATATGTGCCTTTTACCTGATGACTTGGGAGATGCAAAATCATAAATTTATTAAACGCAAATAAATAGTAAATCATCTACTTTTAAAATTAGTTTAAAGTTAAAAATTGCTGTTTAGCACTGAAACACAATGTTTGCCTATCAATAGCTCTTACTATGGAAAACTACACTAACTTTTTCTATTTATCGAAGATCAATCTGTTCCTATGAGCTGCAATACTATGAGTATAACATAAGATTGAAAGATTTTTCACAAATAACCCTGGTGTGAAATAAAATTCATGGGGAATTTGAACCTAGGTACCTCTAATATGTTCTATCAAAATCACTATGAACAAGCATTCTGAGAGTATAGCATGGCAATACATAGTCCCCTACCGGTTAAGAATCCATTGTACTGGAACAAAATGCTAACTTGATCTATAACTTGTCATGATGTAAACTATATAACAAATATCAAGTCAATATCTTCAAGCATGAAGAAAAAAAGTGTGGAAAACTGATTATTTGAGTGAATTTTCTAAGTCCAAGGATTGTAACTCTGCACAAAATCATCAGACCCGAACAAAATTCGAACTTGATCTATAACTTGTCATGATAACTCTATATACCAAATTACAAATCAATATCTTCAAGCACAAAGAAAAAAAGTGTGGAAAACTGATTTGCCGGACTGACGGATGGACAGACAGACAGACAGAGTGCAAACCTCGTGCCCTTTGTCGGTAGGGGACTAATAAAAGGAGATATGGGGTATATGTCAACAAGATGGCAATGTAATGACACAAATAACCAAAAGACTGATTAACAAAAGAGTAAAGTAAGTTATATCAGGTGTTATATCACAATTAGGTCAACTCAGAAATCTGCTAAATGGACATGTAATCAATGAGACAATGTTATAGTAAATGGTTATTGCACTACTATAGGTAATTTTAGTCCAAGGAAAGAACTAGAATATAACATTGTACATTCTTGAAAAAAAATCATGCTTAAAATTCCTCATTTGTATGTGAATAAGTTCTCATTTAACGGTTACCCAGTCTCAGCAGTATTTTCTTAACATTTTCAAATCATATTGTTTTATTTCATACATTTGTTTTTGTTCTTATGTCTGTGATTGGACAAATCATTTTTGCTAGGATGCTAAGAAACTCATTCTGAGAAGCATTTATCACAAAGACATACAGAATTGGCATACAAAAATTGTATCTACTTATTGTACTTTTTTACTTTGATTAAATTTGAGAATGATTATAAAGGCCATAAATTCTTCATAAAAATAATGTACATGTATTACATGTATTATGTATACTTAAAATTATTTAGTTTTACAACAATTTGCAATTAAAGTAAAAAGTGTTTAGAAGATGAAAATCTTTTAGGGTCTGCAATGTTTTACGTAATTTCTAATGCAAATTTATACTGATATAACTGTGTAGTGACTGAACAGTGCTCAGGCATGTAATGACTTAATATATATCTAGATCTGGAATCTTAATTCAAGTTCTTGTGTCAATCATAGGTAACTTTCTGTACAAAAACTAAGGTAAATGTTTAGGGAATGTGTTCCCTAACAAGAAAATGTGTCCATAATACACTAAGACTTGGTCCCACTATCACATTTACATGTTCAGAGGACCACTGCATGGTGAACTACCTTAAACTGGTTCTTTCAAAGGGGAATTCCCAAGCTACTTTTATATGGGTGAAAAGGTTTAACAAAGAAACCAAATTATTGTCCCAATATCAGTCTACATGTATCAATAGCTGTTGTGACATTATCATTTGACCCCAAAATCCAATGGAGCATTCCTTATCCAATTGGGCATTGTCAAACCAAGTTTTGTAAAAGTTGGACCTTTGATTAAAAGCAAAACAATAAGAGACAAAAGCTTTGCTTACATTTCAGTCTATCAGTTACTACCGCAACCTTGACCTTTGTCTATATAGTATATACCCAAAATCAAGGCTCTTTCTCATCTTGGGGCATTATCAATTTAAATGTTGTTTAAGGCTCAAAACGTTTTGTCCAGAAACTGTAATGTTGACAGCTGATCATCTTATTCTTTCAACAAATATTTTGGGAAATTGGTGTAAACAAGAATGTGTCCATAGTACACAGATGCCCCACTCACACTATCATTTTCTATGTTCAGTGGACCGTGAAATTGGGGTCAAAACTCTAATTTGGCATTATAATTAGAAAGATCATATCATAGGGAACATGTGTACTAAGTTTCAAGTTGATTGGACTTCAACTTCATCAAAAACTACCTTAACCAAAAACTTTAATCTGAAGCTGGACGGATGGATGAACGAACGCACAGACCGAAAAAACATAATGCCCCTCTACTATCGTAGGTGGGGCATAAAAATATTAATTATAAAATGAAAAAAATAAATGACACAGTTACAATTTGATTCAAATACAAAAAAGAGAGTGCTTATAATATGAGACAGATGTCACATGTGAAAGAGGAAAATCCTTTTCCTTACATAAACTTTTTTGGTAATTAGATAGATAGATAAATTTGCAGGAAACGTATATATGCTTCACAACATTATGCACGAATTCAGACAGGCCGGGGCACAAGCGGTGCGCGCCCATTAAAATAAGTTATACATAATTATGTACTTTATAGGTAAAATTAGTCACTTCTTGTCAAAATACGATTCTCTTATAAACTCCTAATTCTGTCTTGATAAATACCATGAAAGGTATATATAAATTGGAACTAAAACTAAAACAAAATCAGTGAAAATAAGCAAGACTGTCCCATATACATTGTAAAGTTATAAAATAAAGAGCTGCTCCATGAGCGCATGATACGCCCATCGCTTTTTCAAAGAATAAAGTTCCATAACTCCTCAATGTCATATCAGAAGTTTATAAAAAAAACTAAAGAGAGGTTATTTTCATAGATATAAATCAGTCACCAAAGTTTCATAAAAACTGCTCAAAGAACTCTTGAGTTATTGTCCAAAAACTGGAAAATCACCCTTTTTTAATGAATAAAACCCCATAACTTAGAAACATAATACCCAAAATTTATAAAAATTGAAAGGGAGCTCATGTCAATAGATATTAACAGTTCCCTAAAGTTTCATGCAAATTGGTTAAAGTGTTTTTGAGTTAATGTCAGACATGTTGACGACGGACGGACAACGGTATACCATAATACATCCCGTAAACGGGCATATAAAAATATAACAACAACATTTTTTGCAGTTCTTCTTGATAGTTCAAACAGTTAAGTTATAAATATAGACCTGTAATGTAAATTAGTGTTTCTGATAATGTCAATATTCTTAACAAATTTCTAAGTTAAGCTTTGTAATTTTCAACATCTTACAAATGTAGTTCCCACAGAAGAGAAACAATAATGAAATAAATCATTAACATGTAATATATATGATTCAATTGGTCCTTTTTCCAATCACTCTTACCATATAATAATGTCAGAAGAATACAATAGGGTGCATGTTTGATTATCATAAATTAATAACACTGCGAAAAACAGTCTAGTCAATTTACAATATTATTATGATGAACTTGAAGAGGAACATAACCATTGATAACAAAGCATTCATAAAACCACACATATATCACTTCAATGTCGTTCACTTTTGTCTGAAGATGAAAGTTCTCTATACCATTTTTACTTTATCATGAAATACATGTATACAAGTCTAAATTGAAAACAACTTTCAAACCTATGATTGCGTTGGATAAAAACCGCAATTTTTATATGTGTGCATGTAAAACAAATTTCTTGGTAGAGGGGTCTAAATACAGCACAAACAACATTTTTCAAAAGACCAAAACAGTGAAAAGTATATTTTAACAAATCGCATTTGACTAACAGGTCGAACAACTGATGTTCTTAAACCCTGCTGACTGCCATTGACGATTGCCAAATAAATTGATCACGAGATGTAACATGGATCTTAATTATTAATTTAATACCAAACAGAATACAATAAACTTGCGGAGAAGATGGTAGGTTTACCGCAAACATGAGGTGCAAAAATTTGTACACCATATCCGAATTTCGACAATTAATGTCTCTTCAGTGATGTAAGGGATCGAAACGGTATTTGAAAGGCCATATAATTTACCTCAACTAAGAATAGACTCTTGAGTCGAAATAGGATGAATGGATCATATAAACCCGAAGGAAAATACAATACAAGCCCAAACGATAAAATATAAACAAGTCTAAATTGAAAACAACGTTCAAACCTATGATTGCATTGGATAAAAACCGCGATTTTTATACGTGTGCATGTAAAACAAATTTCTTGGTAGAGGGGTCTAAATACAGCACAAACAATATTTTTCAAAAGACCAAAACAGTGAAAAGTATATTTTAACAAATCGCATTTGATTAACAGGTCGAACAACTGATGTTCTTAAACCCTGCTGACTGCCATTGACGATTGCCAAAGAAATTGATCAGCAGATGTAACATGGATCTTAATTATTAATTTAATACCAAACAGAAAACAATAAACTTGCGGAGAACATGGTAGGTATACCGCAAACATATATATATATATAAAAATGTTGTATATCATCACCTTTGAATAAAGACCAAAAAGACAAGCAAATGCATATACATACAAATTTACAGACAACAATATGACATTTAACAATTGGAAAAGATGCAAGGCAAGCTATAAAAGCAAACTGCATGGTAAACCAAAAATATAAAAAAAACTTCACTTAATTAAACAAAATGGAAAGGCATCTGTAACTTTAATTTTTATTTACGTTTGCAATAAAACCTGGAAAACTCAGGCCAGAACCCCTTAGAAGCAAAAAATATAAAAATGATATAACAGTACAGCTCATAGTTTAAATAAAAGATATTCTGAGTTACAATCTATTTCATGCAGATATCATCTAAATTTTTACATTTAAAAAATTTTTCATCCATATTTATAAATTACTAATGAATCAGCATTTCCAGTTTCCAAAGTTTAATTTAAATAGTTCAATAAAAAAAATGAAGTCATGTATGTCCATGTATATAACATTTTACTCAATGTTCATTATATCTTATTACTCACCTATTCTTAGTTTGAGCTGTATATAACTATATACAATATCTACCTTACATGTTCCTGAAACAGAAATAATATCATCAGATAAACTAATACATTAATCTGTATTGCAAACACGTAATACTATATATATATAATTAATATTGACAGACCTTAATCTCATTACTGAACTGTCTAGATGTGTATATATATGTACCATGGAAGTAATATGGATATGGATCACTAGATACATGTACATAACATAAAGTAATATTGTAGCAGTCTGTTCATAAGGATGAAAATATGCCTTTTAGATATCTATTCTCACCTTAACCTTTACACAGATTCAAATTATTTTGAATACTCAACTTTTCAAGCTCAGTGGGATATTCATGTTAAATCTCAATCCATCACATTATGACTTCAGTTTCAGAATCACATATTATTACAGAAAATCAAGATAAAAAATGGCAGCCATTGTTGGAAGATTGGAAGTAACAAGTTACAAAAAACACACAGGATTTGGTTCACAAACTCATTATTTTGGACCTAAAAATCAGAAAATGATTAACTGCATAATAATGTTGAGAAAATTTGATGAAAACATATATATTAAAATGTCCAATTTATTCAGTATGAAAGAAGATTTCACCAATGGCGTCAATAATGATGTATTGGTGAGGTCATAAATAAAGGTGAATTTCGTAAACACGTGACCCTTTGCATAATCTGGCAAAATATATGACAGTTTTCTGAAATATTAACAGTGGTGCCACCTCTCACCCAAATATTTTTGCTGAAATCTTCTTTATATACCAAATTCTTTACTCTTCAACCAAAAATTTAATAGTTGAAGGGTGCCACCACATATGAAATCATAAAAATTATTTAGGTTGAAAAAGATGACAAATTTCTACAACTAGAGGCTCTAAAGAGCATGTGTCGCTCACTTGCATCTTCAACAATGGACACTTTTTAGAACAAATCATCATCAAAGGGGAATAACTCTATTAAAAGTTAACTGACAATTTTTGTCATGTTGACATATTTGTAAATCTTATCCTGCTGATAATTTTTCCTTTTAAAAGTTTTTATATATCTATTATCATGATTATAGTTCATAAGTTAATACGCAAAAAATGCATAAAAATGTTCAAAATTATCATTTAAGGGCAATAATTCAAATAACGAGTCCACTGAAGATTTCATCTATTATGGCTTATTTACAGATCTTGTCTTGCTGATCATTTGTGCTATAAGAAGTCATCTGACAGTTTTGACTTCAACAGACAATAGTAAGAGCTCAACAATTTGAACATTTTTGCCTCTCTCAGATTTTCTCTATTTATATCAGTTTTCGAAATAATAGGCAAAACTTGCATTTTACCCCTTATAATGTTCTATCGGACACATTATGTAAACTATATACCATAATAATGATTGTGGCCAAGTTTAGCTTAATTTGGCCTAGTAGTTTCAGAGGAGGAGATTTATGTAAAAGTTAAAAGACGAGGACGCCAAGTGATGAGAAAAAGCTAACTTGGCCTTTCGGCCAGGTGAGCTAAAAACTGACATAAACTGTTATCACAGAGATATGTCTCGCCTTTTTGCAATTTTGATAATGCAAATGTTGAAATTAAAATAGCAATACTTGAACATGCATTAAGTTATGCAAATATTCAAAGTCGATGAACCATGACTGAAGATACATGGCTAAACAATCTCCACGGAATGAGATGTGCCAATGCTAATACAACTGCATACCAAATACCATTGACTTTAAATAAGTCGTTCCCTTTAAACAAATCTAAACACAAATATTAACTTGTAAACTATGCTAGTTTCAAAGTCAATGAACCATGATCAGGGGTGGGGCTATATAATCTCCATGGAAACGATACTTGCAAATGCCAATAAATTTGTGTACCAAATATCATGGACTTAACATTAGCAGTTCATCTTAAACTGATCTAATCACAAACTAATACATGTAAACTAAGCAAAAGTTTCAAAGTAAATAGACCATGACTGAGGGGGCGGGGCCAAATATTCTCCATGGAAATGAGATGTGCTTATGCTTATACACCTGAACACCAATTAACATTAGCCTACCGCTAATGATTCCCCTTGAACTGACCTAATCACAAACTAATACATGTTAACTTAGCAAATTTTCAAAGTCGATAGACCATGACTAAGGGGGCGGAGCCAAATAATCTCCATGGAAATGAGATATGCTAATGCTTATACAACTGCATACTAGTGGTTCCCCATAAATTGACCTAATCACAAACTAATACATGTAAACTATGAAAAGTTTCAAAGTCAATAGACCTTGACTGAGGGGGCGGGGCCAAATAATCTCCATGGTAATGAGATGTGTCAATGCTAATACAACTGCATACCAAATATCATTGACTTAACACTAGTGGTTCACCATGAACTAGACCTAATCACAAACTAATACATTGTTGACGACGCCGCCGCCACCGCCGACACCGGAAACAGCATACCCATGTCCTGCTTTTTGACTCCGTCAAGGCGAGACAAAAACGATACCTATTTCCATTTCAGGCTAATATATAACATGTATTAACTAGAGGCTCTAAAGAGCCTGTTTCGCTCACCTTAGTCTATGTGCATATATATCAAATAAAGGACACTCTCCAACATTGTAGACGAGAATAGACTTCATGACGAAAATCTCTATTTTGTTGATCTTGTATAACTGATCTTTTAGTCTGTTTAGTTTCTCTCTATCTTCTTTAGTTTTTGCTCAAAACACAAAAGAGGGTAAAAAATCCTCCTATCAGGGCAATCACTCCTATGAAGAGTGATAGTCTACTTACTATATCGGCAAAATTTGACTTCTTAATGGATCTTGTCTTGCTAATCATTTTTATGATTTAAAGTGTTTATTTATCTATTATAATTTAAATCATATAAGGCATAACAGAAAAAAAACATGTTTCTCTCTAAATATCATATATATATAGTTAACATGATAAAAGGCAAAAATTTTAAAAAATGGTAAAATTTGTCATTTATGGGAAATAACTCCTATAATAATTTGTCTATCAGTTTTGACGTATATGGACAATTGGTAGAGCTCATAATTCTGAACATTTTTGCTCCTTTCAGATTTTGGTCATTTGACTTATTTGTAGATCTTACTTTGCTGATCATTATTGCTGTTTACAGTTTATCTCTATCTATAATAATATTCAAGATAATAACCAAAAACTGCAAAATTTTCTTAAAATTACCAATTCAGGGGCAGCAACCCAACAACGATTGTCTGATTCGTCTGAAAATTTCAGAGCAGATAGATCTTGACCATATGAACAATTTTACCCCATGTCAGATTTGCTCTAAATGCTAAGGTTTCAGAGATATAAGCCAAAATCTACATTTTAGCCCTATGTTCTATTTTTAGACATTGTAGCCAAGTTTGGTTAAATTTGGCCCAGTAGTTTCAGAGGAGAAGATTTTTGTAAAAGTTAACGACGACGGCAGAAGATGACGGACGCCAAGTGATGGGAAAAGCTCACTTGGCCCTTTGGGCCAGGTGAGCTAATAATATATGAAGCAGATATACAATTTGTCTTATCATATTTTTAAAAAAATAATACATTTAGCAATAAATAAACATTCCATTTACTCAGACAATTGAAGATTTAAAACTACACCTTTACAGGACTGTTTATTGGGTTTACTGGCTCTACTCCTTAATATAAAATACCTTAATGACCATTCATGCCAAGTTTGGTTGAAATTGGTTCTGTGGTTTCAGAGGAAGATATTTTTTATTAACAATTTAAAATAAAGAGCATTTTAAAAATTACTCACAAGTATAGTTATAAATCCAATGCTACACCTACATGTGTACTGTATTAATATAAGTTACTATGAGTAGCTTGTGCATCCTAGTACAAATAAAATAACAACTACACCTTGGAATGTTGGACTCTGGATGTGTTACAATCTACAAACAAATAAATGATAAACATATTCAGATATTATTCATTGTATTTAATTACTAACCAAAAACCCCATCCCCTTTTCAAACGTACGTTTTTTTTACCAATATCTACTTTACTTTACAGCTCTGAGTTTCATAGAGTCTAGATGTTCTGTTAACTACAAGTAAATGTAGTTTAATATACTCATCTCAAAGTTGTAATGATTAGATTTAAGTGGAAGCATACTTTTGTTCATATTATGTTGTTCCCTCAACAGGATTTGAACCCATGCTTCTGTGATATCGTGGCAACACAGCCTGCACTTTATAAAACTATAGCTTTCGTTAGTTGAGTAATGCCTTTCCTTGTCTGCTTTATATAAGTTTGTAACACAGTACTGTACATAATATATTGTGGCATGTACATGTACAACATGAAGATGGAAAACGTGTACCTTAAATTAAGGAAACTTTACATAGTGTAAACTATACTCAAAACTAAAAGCAATAGAATATTATAAACTGCCTTGGAAACTTTTAAGACATGAAATAATAATAATAATAATAATAATAACTCTTTATTTAAAGAGGGTTACGTATACACAGTTAGCTATAACACTAAATACAATATACATGGCCTATATGGTGTACATACATTTACAAAGAGAAAAACTCACTCCACTTTTATTTCAAGTGTACCCTATTCATACTGTTAACTTGACCTTGGCTTTTACATATCAAATCCATAAATATATCCTGTATTGAAATATATGTGTATATTGATGTCACATTACCTATCATAAATGTATTTGTAATATGAATGTAAATTGTCGTTTGCTTTTACATCTAGTTCTTTAATTGACCTAGGACCAGATGAGCTGCTTCCAATTGTGCCATCATGTATACCTATCCAGCAGACCATGACTTTAAGAGGCCTTTAAATACCTTAAAGTGATGATAAAATAGTGAAAACTGCACATCTGACATGCACTTTAAATGATTAATTATTCTATTAAATGACACATATCTGAAAGTTAAATTAACAAATTGAAGTCATTTTGTTAACCTAAAATTGCTAGGTAGAACAAGAATCACGGTTGTGATAATTGATAAAAGAATTGACTTAGTGTAAAAAAAATATTTTAAATATCAGTAAGGGCTAGAAGTGTATTGATGGAACAAATTTCAATAATAGACACAACATAAATTAATCAGGAAGATAGCACAATAAGAACAGTCAAAAATATTAACATTGCAAGTGAAAGAAAAACCTGAGATATTATTTAAATATTCTCCTTCTACTCACTACTGGAATTTTAAAAATAATTTTAATCTGAGAGACTTTTTCAAGTCTTAATATTTCTGTAAATATGGCCATGGTTACATATATATACATGTATATATATAAATAAAACAAGCATTCTTAGAGTATTGCATGGCAATACATAGTCCCCTACCGGTTAAAAATTCATTGCACTGGAACAAAATGCTAACTTGATCTATAACTTGTCATGGTGGAAACTATCTAACAAATATCAAGTCAATATCTTCAAGCATGACGAAAAAAAAGTGTGAAAAACTGATTATTTAAGTGAATTTTCGAAGTCCAAGGACCATAACTCTGCACAAAATCATCAGACCAAAACAAAAATTTGAACTTGATCTGTAACTTGTCATGATACAACTATATACCAATTATCAAATCAATATCTTCAAGCATGACGGAAAAAAAAGAGGAAAACTGATTATTTGAGTGAATTTTCTAAGTCCAAGGACCATAACTCTGCACAAAATCATCAGACCGGAAAAAAATTCGAAATTGATCTGTAACTTGTCATGATAAAACTATATACCAATTATCAAATCAATATCTTCCAGTATGACGAAAAAAAGTGTGGAATACTGATTATTTAAGTGAATTTTCTAAGCCCAAGGACCATAACTCTGCACATAATATCAGACCGGAACAAAATTCGAACTTGATCTGTAACTTGTCATGATAAAACAATACACCAAATATCAAATCAATATCTTCAAGCACAAAGAAAAAAAGTGTGGAAAACTGATTTGCCGGACTGACAGATGGACAGACAGACAGACAGACGGAGTGCAAACCTAAAGTCCCCTTCGAATTTGTCGGTAGGAGACTAATAAAATGGGCAAAAGAAGAACTATAAAATTTTATATTGATCAAAATTGATACTGACAAAAGATCATTTGTGATTTTTTTATCCACTTCAAAATTTATAGTTGCTATTACATTTGTATTAAAGGAAGCTGGCAGGTAATCTTTTATTTAATTGCACAGATTTAAAGATAAAGGGTATAAACAAATGAGTAAAAAGCTTTGGAGTAGCTATAAGAAAAAGATGGCCATTTATTCATATCCGTTCCTTTCCCAAAATTACTCCACATTTGTTTTCAAGTACAGAAAAATAAAATATTCCACATTTTCCATATATTTTTGTTCCTTCATCAATCACAAGCCAAAAAAAAACATGTTTGATTACTGTACCCAAAACTGTCAGTAATTTTTCAGAGTGCCAACCCTAACTTTTTTTAGCCGAAAATTTAGCAAATTATTTTTTTAGTTGTATTATTCAGCGATGTTCTTTTTGTTCAACATGTTCAACCTCTAGCTTAATGCCTATATGATATAGGTATATCCGGGGTTTCCTAATAAAAACAATAAAAAAAAAATACCTGCTCCTATCCCATGTATCCTGCATTTTATAAAGGTGTACCAGTAAAATGCAAACAAATTCTAATCAATCTTCATATTAATCAGATTTAAGCTGATTATTATAATGTTATGTTTTGTTCTAAATTCCAGTTCCATCATTCTACAGCTATGTACATGTAGATCATTTAAGAATTGAATGCTTCTTTTTGTAAATTTATTGGGGTGTAAAAGCGTTGACCGAAGTACATTTTGTATGAAGAGCGGAAGCGCTTCATTCTAAAAATTTGCGCATAGTCAACGCTTTTACAAGCCTATAAAATTACTAAAAGAAGCATTCAATACTTATAATTACATTTTTTTTATTAGATCATGAAAACACGATTTCTATCAAGTTTTTCTTTAATTTACCTGTGTACTTTATTGAGGAAGCTCTTGTCATCATGAATGTTACATTTCATTTTGAAATGAAGGTTAATTTTAGAATGACGTGAGATTGCTGTTAGCCAATCAAAATAACGTATTATAATGAAACATACATGTAATGTAATTATATCTAATTAATTGCCCTTTTTCAGAATACTTGACTGCTTTAGCTTCTTTGCCACCTAGCTCTCACAGTCAATTCCATAAATCATCTGCACTGCTTTATATTTTTAAATGAATTTACTTAAAAGTTATTATCCATAGTCCTGTCCATACTTTTCAAAGTCAACATGGGGGATTTTAAGAGCAAGAGGAAATGCTCCTTTTATATTGTCTTAAGTATTTTTAATCTACTACTGTATTGTTTGAATTAGTATGTATGTGCTAAAATACTGCTCAGTTTGTATAAACTCAGGTCAACACCTCTCATGGGGAAATACCCCATAAATTGTTGACAGGTCTGTCTATCAGGCTCTCTTGAAGCCAGTAGTGAAAAATTGTAATTAATCTTGCCTTCAGTTTTTTTCTGGAACATTATTTCTCACATGATTTTCAACACTACTTATATACATATGCAAGATTTTTCAATTTATATACAGCTGTGCATCACAGCAATACTGCACAAAGCAATACATGTATCTTCATGTTGCAATGCCCTATGATATATTTTTCTCGAAAGACTCAGACTTCAGGTCAACCAGAGAAATTCATTCGTAAAGTGGAAATTGAAAAACTCATCTATTGTTCAGGTGTTCCCTTGACATTTTGTATTTTAAGATAAGACAAGATAAGATATTTCATTACAATTAAAGGGTCCATGAAGATCAAAGTAATTTATTACAATCATTTAGATAATTGACACAATAATTTTGATAATCATATATAAATATGAATATAATCATCTCAATTCTAAGATCTTAAACCACAGCCAGATCAGAGCCATATACATATTAGTAAAAAAGCATAATAATTATATTTAATATTAACAGGCAAATATTCTCAATGGGTTACATATAAACATACAAATGTATCTGTACTTATTGATAGTTTTCTGATTATTTATTAATATAAATTGCAATAATTTTCTATACCTCCAAGTTTTCTTGAGTAAAAAGCAAATTAAACATGGCACTTGTGTTTAACATTTTCGAAAATTTTACAACTTATCAAAATTTTATCATAAAACTCTTTTCTCGAGAGATTATAAAGGGGACATTGACATATAAAATGTTCTTCTTCTTCAACTTTATCAAACGTACATTTTTTACATAATCTTTGTAATTTATCTATATAGTTTATTGCATATCTATCCGTCTCTATCTTTAAGGGGTGTGCACTTATTCTGATCTTGCACAGTGCTTGTCTATCTTTAAATCTTTAAATTCCAGATATTTTTCTGTTCCAAAAATATATATATATTTAAATATGTTTAATTGAAAAATAAGTCATGAGTTTACCTTTACCTGACAGTATTTTCTCTAAATTCCCTCCAATAATTCAAAAAACTTTTACATAATTTATTCTGAACTATAACAGAGGCTGATTTAGGGGGGGCCTCCATTTTGTGAGAAAAATTTGGTTGATTATTTAGGGAATCACTGAAGCATGACTGGTAGCGGGCCCCTCTTAGGCACAGTGGGACCCCCCCTTATGAAAATTTCTGGATCCGTTACTGTCTAGTACATAATAGACCAACACTTACAATTAAGTTTGATAAGTCTATAGTTCTTTCATTAAAAAATCAATACTAGAAAACCATGTAGTAATAATTTTTACATGTAACTTTTTATTACAAATATATGCATCATATAATAAACCATCCTTTGTGTTCTCTCACATATGAGCATATTTTAACATTGCCAATAAAATTGAAAAATATATAGGAAATCTTCTTAATTCAGATATAACAGCAAAATTACTTGCTTTTCTGTTAACCCCAAGAATATATTTCATGAATTTTGTGTGACTGTATTCGTTCAGCTCTCTTTTGCCTATTTATGTAAGATGGAATGCGTTTCATTTACAATGTGAACTTACAAATATCCTTATCAGCTAATATGTGTTAAATTGTTGCGGTGCCCTAGATATTTTAACTTTATATTTTTTATCTAAGGTGTCAATGACCTTGCCCAGCCAGTGTAACCCTATGAGAGTGTAACACTGTGACCAAATACAATATATCTACGTACCATTATAATTCATGCCTTGAAGACACACGGTGTGTTTGTTAGCAGGTTAGATAGAATTGATTGATCACTATTCCGGTCAATCAGCAGATTAGAATTGGCTCCAGTTGCAAGCAGATCAGCTGATCAACGATCACTTACCGCAATCAGCTGACTTTGTTGTCTCCGAAAGCATTCATGCGAAAATCAGCTGACTACCCAATTTGGCCTCGATTGTATCAAAAAGAACCAGTGTTCAACACTGATCTTGCAACAAGAACCTGATACTCGTATGTCTTACCTCAATTATTTATATTCTGGAGTCTTCGATAAAAAAATATCGTTGCTAGTTTCAAGAAGGGAGATAATCCATTTATTAATCATGTGAGAATAGCTTTCCCGCCAAAATATTATGACAAGTACTAGCTTTTATAAAATAAAACCAGACATTATATAAAGACATTATTATGTCTCTCGAGTCTGATAAAACCTTTAATTTCATTGACCACTTGTGATTAACAGAATTATGATAAATGGGCTAATAAATTAAAAAATAAGAATAGAAAATGATTTACAAAAAATATAAAGATTAGAGGAAAAAAGACTAAACAAATTAAAGAATATAGAAATTCGGATACCCTAACCATTACAATAATTTTGAACGAGGATATTGCCCGAATTTGAACTGTGTTCAATCATGGTTCAATGAATTATGTTCTTGTCATAATATTTTGATTTCTTAACGTAATCCATCCTGGTAATGCAAGTGCCGTAACTAGCCTCGTAATTATAACTATGTCAATTCAGTGTTTATAACACATTTTAATGACTGCTTGATGTAGTTCCTAACTGGGATAGAAAGGTAACACTCAAGGTAGACCAGGAAAACGGTTCTTAAGACCTCATTGCTACATTTTTGTGCTGTTTTGATATGTATACCGGCTGATTAATGTCGGATCTGTCTGTTCTGGTCTTGTATTGTGCTTATTATTGACTTTAGTGTAATATTTTTTGTGACTTTGAAATTTATTCACAGCTACTTTAAGTATCACTTAAGTCGATGCTAGGGGTCGTCTTGATCTTGCTGTACTAACCTACAGTAGGGTATGAATGATTCGTTCATCGTTGAACATCCTCCAGCGACTGAAGAACAGGAATTGCCAAACCACACAACCGTTCACCCGTCATTACTGACCACTTCGACTATGCTATTTCGATACTTTTTTATTTTTTTATTATCAATGTTTCATAGCACATACCTTTTCATTGACTAACCGATACATATTTTTACAATTTAAAGTAGTTTTTTTGAAAATAGACAAAAGGTCCTTGAATAAAATAAAACTCAAGTTTAAAACAAAATTACTTATTTACAAATGAAATTCAACACTAAGACAATAGTCATAAAGAAGGACAATCAATGAACAATTAAAAGACAAACCCGGGAACAGATAAGACACATAACGACAAACAATAAACACTGAAAACTAAAAATAAATAAGAAACATGGATAAAAATAAACAGTGGCGACGTCAGAGGGTGTCTGTGACAGAACTTGTTTCTTGTAAGACACTCGCCGTGAAAACAATCTGATATGAAGACAAGCTTTAATGCGACTGTCATACAAGTGAGAGGTTTAGCTAGCTATAAAACCAGGTTTAATCTACCATTTTCTACATAAGGAAATGCCTGTACCAAGTCAGGAATATGACAGTTATTTTCTATTTGTTTGATGTGTTTGAGCTTTTGATTTTGCCATTTGATAAGGGACTTTCTGTTTTGAAGTTTCCATGGAGTTCGATATTTTTGTTATGTTTCTTTTAATTTCAACTTATTATTATTTTTTAAATTTCCAATGTGAGGCATTTGCCTCATTTGCCTCAATGTAGTTACGGGTTTATGCTGCTCTGATGTCAATAGTGGAGCAGGGACTACCTACCCTTTCTTGAGTACCTTAGTTAATCACTGGTTTTGGTGGGGTTCATGATTCTCTTATGTCAGAAGTGGAGCAGGAACTACCTACCCTTTCTGATTACCTTAGTTAATCACTAGGTTTGGTGGGGTTCATGATGCTCTGATGTCAGTATTGGATCAGGAACTGCCTACACTTCCTGAGTACCTAATATAAGTTAATCACTAGGTTTAGTGGGGTTTATGCTGCTCTGATGTCAGTATTGGATCAGGAACTACCTACCCTTCCTGAGTACCGTAGTTAATCACTGGTTTGGGTGAGGTTGCTACTGCTCTGATGTCAGAAGTGGAGCAGGAACTGCTTACCCTTTCTGAGAACCTTCGTTCATCACTGGTTTTGGCGGGGTTCGTGCTGCTCTGATGTCAGTAGTGGAGCTGAAACTGCCTACCCTTTCTGAGAACCTTAGGTAATCACTGGTTTTGGCGGGGTTCGTGCTGCTCTGATGTCAGAAGTGGAGCAGGAACTGCCTACCCTTTCTGAGTACCTTATATTAGTTAATCACTGGTTTTGGTGGGGTTCATGATGCTTTGATGTCAGAAGTGGAGTAGGAACTGCCTACCCTTTATGAGTACCTTATATTAGTTGCTCACTGGTTTTGGCGGGGTTCGTGCTGCTCTGATGTCAGAAGTGGAGCAGGAACTGCTTACCCTTTATAAGAACCTTCGTTCATCACTAGTTTTGGCGGGGTTCGTGCTGCTCTGATGTCAGAAGTGGAGCAGAAACTGCCTACCTTTCTGAGAACCTTAGGTAATCACTGGTTTTGGCGGGGTTCATGATGCTCTGATGTCAGAAGTGGAGTAGGAACTGCCTACCCTTTATGAGTACCTTATATTAGTTACTCACTGGTTTTGGCGGGGTTCGTGCTGCTCTGATGTCAGAAGTGGAGCAGGAACTGCTTACCTTTTCTGAGTACCTTCGTTCATCACTGGTTTTGGTGGGTTCATATGCTGCTCTGATGTCAGTAGTGGAGCACGAACTGCTTACCCTTTCCGAGTACCTTATATTAGTTGATCACTGGTTTTGGTTGATTTCGTGCTGCTCTGATGTCAGAAGTGGAGCAGGAACTGCTTACCCTTTCTGAGTACCTTCGTTTATCACTGGTTTTGGTGGGGATCCATGCTCCTCTGATGTCAGTAGTAGAGCACGGTTAATCATTGGTTTTTGTGGGGTTAATGATGCTCTGATGTCAGTAGTGATGCACGAACTGCCTACCCTTTCTGAGTACCTTAGTTAATCACTGGTTTCGGTGGGGATTCATGCTCCTCTGATGTCAGTAGTAGAGCACGATCTGCCTACCCAAGTTAATCATTGGTTTTTGTGGGGTTAATGATGCTCTGATGTCAGTAGTGGTGCACGAACTGCCTACCCTTTCTGAGTACCTTAGTTAATCACTGGTTTTGGTGGGGATTCATGCTCCTCTGATGTCAGTAGTAGAGCACGATCTGTCTACTCAAGTTAATCATTGGTTTTTGTGGGGTTAATGATGCTCTGATGTCAGTAGTGATGCACGAACTGCCTATCCTTTCTGAGTATCTTAGTTAATCACTGGTTTTGGTGGGGTTAATGATGCTCTGATGTCAGTTATGGAGCAGGAACTGCCTATCCTTTCTGTGTACCTTAGTTAATCACTGGTTTTGGTGGGGTTAATGATGCTCTGATGTCAGTAATGTAGCAGGAATTGTCTATCCTTTCTGTGTACCTTAGTTAATCATTGGTTTTGGTGGGGTTAATGATGCTCTGATGTCAGTAATGGAGCAGGAATTGTCTATCCATTCTGTGTACCTTAGTTAATCACTGGTTTTGGTGGGGTTAATGATGCTCTGATGTCAGTAATGGAGCAGGAATTGTCTATCCTTTCTGTGTACCTTAGTTAATCACTGGTTTTGGTGGGGTTAATGATACTCTGATGTCAGTAATGGAGCAGGAATTGTCTATCCTTTCTGTGTACCTTAGATAATCACTGTTTTTGGTGGGGTTTTGCTTCTCAATCTTTTTGTTTTCAATATAGTGTTTTGTCGAGTGTTGATGTCTTTTCACATTCTTTTATTTGCCACGCTGTTGTCTGTTTATCTTTGACTATTGGTTATTGATTGCCCCTTTGGTATTTTTTCCCCATTTTAGTGATAAAACAACTTTCTATCTCACTGATACCAATGGGTTATATTACATTTACTTTACTTCTTTCCCTCTTAAGTACAATGTAGACGTTAAGTGATGTTTTGTGTTTTAGATTACTGTGGATTCTCATCATTTTTTAGTTGGAATCAAATTTTGTAAGAAAAGATCTTATTCAAGATTTCCTTATTTGGTTATTACATCATTTGTTCTTATCAAAGTAACTACACATTCACATTTTGTTCAGTATTAGAATGAATGGTTTTCCCTAGCCAAGAAATCTTGGTATCTCATGCACTAGGGCTTGAGGAGTGGACCCCTCCTCCCTTTTTTCGTCTTTTTTAAATTCATTAAATTTGAAAACTTTTAATTTCTTTAGTATTTTAACTTATTTCCCCCCTTTTTAACACGTTCTTTCTTATGTCTTTAAGATTTAACAATAACAGTAGTATATGAGCAATTCCCCTCTAAAAATGCAAAATAAGAGTAGAGGCAGAGTGGCCTCCCTTATATAATACTATTATTATCAAATCATAACTAGAGGCTCTAAAGAGCCTGTGTCGCTCACCTTGGTCTATGTGCATATCAAACAAAGGACACAGATGGATTCATGACAAAATTGTGTTTCGGTGATGGTGATGTGTTTGTAGATCTTACTTTACTGAACATTCTTGCTCCTTACTATTATCTTTATCTATAATGAACTTGGCCCAGTAGTTACAGTGGAAAATATTATGTAAAAATTTACAAAAATTTACAAAATTTATGAAAATTGTAAAAAATTGACTATAAAGGGCAATAACTCCTTAAGGGGACAATTGACAATTTTGATCATGTTGACTTATTTGTAGATCTTACTTTGCTGTACATTATTGTCTTTTACAGTTTATCTCTATCTATAATAATATTCAAGATAATAACCAAAAGCTGCAAAATTTTCTTAAAATGACCAATTCAGGGGCAGCAACCCAACAACGTGTTGCCTGATTGGTCTGAAAATTTCAGGGCAGATAGATCTTGACCTAATGAACAATTTTATCCTTGTCAGATTTGCTCTAAATGCTTTGGTTTCAGAGATATGAGCCAAAAACTG